GCGGGAAATGGATGCATACGTTCCATTTCGTTAGCACAGATGGTGCCGCACTATACAGGCACCACTGTATCATACATACACATATTATTATTACCCATAGCTCAGTGGTTAGAGCATCGCTGGCTACAAGCGAGGGTCCCTGGTTCGAGTCCTGGTGGTGACAGTCAATTTGTTCTTCAGACTTTTCCCGTTTGTCTCTTTCCCTCAAAAGCAGTTAATATTATTATTATTATTATTATTATTATTATATTATTATTAATATTTAAAAGTAGAAAGGAAAAGGACATATGGAAGCGAGTTAAGAGTAACTCTCCACCACCGTAACTAGATACTATATACAGTCAGAAAGTGCAACAACTAGGCACAAAACTGACAGAGTACTGAGACATTCGACGTCCTGACACCTAGCTTCAACACATCTCCGTAGCGCTAACCGACAGCCTTCCAACTTGGAAGGTTCAAGGTTATGGAAAGACCAAAGAGGGGAAGGCAAGCGCAACGAAAACGAGCACAAGCTACAGTCCCAACGGAACAAAGAATGTCGATTGTTACTGGACGATGACGAGACCAGTAGGCGATTTGACAAAGCGGTCTAACTACAATTCGAAGCAGCAAAGCAGCACACCAGTTGGGTGGGTGGGTCTTAACTCGTTTCCATATGTCTTTTTCCTTTCTACTTTTATTATTGGCTCAATACCCGAGTTTCATAATATTATTTATTCTTCTTTTACTAGGGAATTCCCAACAGGCGTCAGCGCCTTTTTACAGGGAACCCTAGGTATGATTTGATGGATGAGCGAAATTCAGCTGGTGAACTAGACATGCGGCAAGCCGGTGGAAGTGTATTCCACCTGGCAGCGCCCAAATAAGAAATAAGGAATTGCCCACATACCTCGGTTATGACACTAGCGGTGTAGTAATAGACGGCGCCGTTGTCATAATTTCTCGGCAAGTCGTACCGATTGTAGTGCGGAGCTCCCACCACCACATCTCCGCCACTAAACGGTACAGAAATGCATATGGTTAATCGCAGGTATACGCATTTACACACGTACACACCCACGCACATTTACCACACAGACACGCGTATACACGAGTGAATGCCCATATCGCGCGCGCGCACGCACCCACACACACACACACACACACACACACACACACACACACACACACACACACACACACACACAGATATGAGTACGCAACAGAGAGAAAATCACCCTCTAGCCAGCAGAGAGGGCTGAACACAACGATACAGAGTTATACATACGTTCTCACACATAAGAGTTTTCCTCCTTCTCACACCCACACAGACACACACACACACACACACCCACACCCACACCCACACCCACACCCAAATATACACATGCACACATGTACGTACACAAGCACACACACACACACACACACACACACACACACACACACACACACACACACACACACACACACACACACACACACACCCATTTTTTGGGTCGGACTTGCGTCATTCCGTCGAAGCGGTCCACCACGTCCACACTTCCCTTACTCATGATGTCACACTATGACGTCCAATACGGAGTTTGCCGTCCCAGATCTGATCAGTGCCCGAGCGGCGCACTCTGGGAGATTATTAAGGACTCTTGGTAAAACCTGTAACTAAAGACCACCATGACTAGCGACCAGCCTGGTACTACAGACCACTTTGCCAGGCACGGACTGCCTCACATGCATATATTATTGTTGTGCGGTGCAAACTTCTAACTAAGGACCACCTGCCACTAAAGACCGCTTTCTCTGGCCCCAAGCGGTGGTCGTTAGTAACAGGTTTTAGTGTAATTTCGTTTTATTGCACATTGTCTCCACCGTTTTACATTGCTCTCTCCAACAGCTTTCCAGCAAGCCCAAGATCATCAAAGTCAGTGAAGTGCAACTGATGCTATGGTGTCATATCGAACAATTAAGAAGCACATGGGATACCGACTGTTCACCGAAACCCGATTCACAGAACGACAGTTCCTCGAATGACAATTCACCGAAAGACGATTCACAGAATGCTTGTCACACCGACAGACCAGTTCACAGAAAACCTTCCTCACCGAAAACACTTTCACAGAAGACCCTAACACCGAAAGACGGTTGACAGAATACTCCCTACACCGAACGAAACTAACACCGACATTGGCACTGTAGGCTCATTTGGACATCGAAACAAACAGCAATTTGTTCAGTTAGTCCGTGTGTATTTCACAGAATTTGGCACTGTCCTGTATTGGCAGTGTTTAAATTTGGCACTATATTCTACACATACATGTCTAGCAAAATGCTCACTTGTCACGCAGCATGGTGGCTATTGTAGGGTATAAACAGTGACTGGGTCCATGCAATAAGGCATTTTCCAGCGATCGTGGAGGACATTGATGATGGAAGTGACGAATTTCCTTGCCCACCGGACTATGTCACAACAACGAAGCGTGGCGGACTGAAATGGATTTACAAGGGACACGGATACGTCATCGAGAAGAGAGGACGAGAAGAAGTGATGTATTGGCGGTGTGAGCGAAAAGATGAACTGGGTTGCAAAGGACGGATCATTTCCCAAGATGACGACATACTAAAAGCTACAGGACATCACAGCCACACGCCCGAAGCAACGTTGCAAGAACAAGCAGAAGTACGGGATACCATCGACAACCGAAGCAGAACAAGCAGAAGTACGGGATACCATCGACAACCGAAGCAGAACAACACACGAATCGACACAGCAAATTGTACAGTTTGCGTCAGAGGGGGTTTCATTGCCTACTGTGGCACAGCTCCCCACCGAGAGAAGTCTTAGGCGAAGGGCACAGAGATCTCGTGTTGCAGCCCAAAACCCGCCCCCGAACCCGTCCACTCTGATGAACATTGTAGTTCCAGAAGATTTCGTCCAAACCGCTCACGGCGATCAATTTCTGCTTTTTGACAGCGGATCCGCGACAGGGAATGAGCGGATTCTAGTTTTCTCTGCCCCGGGGCACCTCGAAACTCTAGCATCTTCCACCCAGTGGTTTAGCGATGGCACGTTCAAAACCGTGCCTCATCTTTTCGCTCAACTCTACACAATCGGCACGTCTAAGAGTAATTATTTCCTGCCTCTCGTATTTGCCCTTCTGCCAAATAAACGACAGGACACGTATGAAAAGCTCCTGCAAGCTCTGATTGACGTGAACGCTGACCTAAATCCGGCAACAATCAGCACCGACTTTGAGCTCGCGGCAATCAAAGCGTACCGGCAAAAATTTCCCCAAGTGATCGTCCATGGATGCTACTTCCATTTATCTCAAAATATATTTAAACATATACAAGGCGCAGGTCTCGCAGTTCGCTATGGCCAAGACGCGGAGTTGGCACTGAAGCTAAAGTCGATCGCTGCTCTGGCATTCGCTCCCACACTAGACGTAGTAGAGTGCTTCGAGATATTGGAAGCCGACTTCCCTCCTGAAGCGGATGAAGTACTGACGTATTTCGAAACGTACTACATCGGAACATTAAGGGCCAATGGTGAACGCCGCACTCCCCGATTTCTGCATGAGTGGTGGAACGTGAGCGAACGCACAGCCGATGGAACACCCATGACTAACAATCTTCAAGAAGCCTGGCATCGTTGCTTCGCTGCGGTGGTGAACTGTCACCATCCTACAATCTGGACCTGCATCGAGAGTTTGGTTAAAGAGCAGCGAAGTACGGTGGAGAAACTCGAGCGAATAGTTGCTGGTGAAAACGGCCCTAAACGCAGACAGCGCTATGTCAAGCTTGACCAGCGGTTGCGCACGGTAGTTGAGTCGTTTCCAAATGTGCCGACAGCCGAGTTTCTGAGGGGCATCGCGCACAACTTGGCTTTCTTTTGAGTTCCTCTTTTGCGTTCCTCTTTTGCGTTCTTCTTTCCAGTTAGTTGATACAAGCAACGAGAGCGAAATGGCTGATACAAGACGACTTCTGTCGGAATATTGGCGTTGCAGCTAAGACGTTGGGCTGTAGCGCTGGCGTTTTGACCTTCGTGTTGACGAGTGTGGGCTCAATGTGTTCCTCTTGCGACAAGCTTTCCAGGAAGCCCAAGATTGAAAAATCGTCAAAAGGAGACTAAAGTTATGACCCGGAGAATTATGGAATTTGAGGTGAGCCGAGATCAAATTCAGTCTGTGTACATTTTTCAGTACATAAAGGGTTAATCTTATTTTTAATTTGATTCGCAGTGAAGAGGCCGTTTTTTGGAGTTGAGAAGTGAAGTTTGCTAAAAGGTCGCACACATTCGTGGCATATCGGATTGTGTCCTCATGTACATACTGGTGCATGTTCATGATTGTCCTTCCGTGTCCATGTACTGTCAAACCTGGGTTTAGCCACCTCTGGGTTTAGCGACCACCTGCTCTTAACGACCTCTGGGTTTAGCGACCACCTGCTCTTAACGACCGTCTTTCCATGCACCGACAGTTCTACACAGACACTGTGGGACCTGGTTCTAAAGACCACCTGGCTTTAACGACCGCTTTTGCTTGCACCGTGGGGCCAGGGTGTTACTCTACTCATATTGACAGGTGTGGAGCATAGAATGCTTTCGTGCAGGCAAAGCACACCTCACTCAAGCGCATCCTGCACTGTCACTTGTCACTTCTGTTGACTGCATGCACTTGCTTCAGAGCGCACCTCAACCCTGTTGCAGTCAGCCCTGCCAGCCAAGATGGCACTTTTGGTTAGTTTTGGTCGCTGTGTGCAGATCCAATATGGCACTTGGTACACTAAAAGTCGATCGCTGGTCACGCAAGGCAGGTGGTCACTGTATCCGGTGCAGTTTCTGTGTAGAACTGTCCGTGCCTGGAAAAAACGGTCGCTAAAACCAGAGGTCGCTCACACCAGGTTTTACTCAAGGCGACCGCTTGGATAGGGCGACCACCTGTCCCAGAAGACCACTGCAACAATAACCAAGGGATGCTATATCCAGTAAAACGACCCTGGATAAGGAGATCACCTGGTTA